TACGCTACAGAGACAGAGAGCTAACGCTACGGTACAGAGAACTAACGCTACGGTACAGAGAACTAACGCTACGCTACAGAGAGCTAACGCTACGCTACAGAGAGCTAATGCTACGCTACAGAGACAGAGAGCTAACGCTACGCTACAGAGAACTAACGCTACGCTACAGAGAACTAACGCTACGCTACAGTGAGATAATGCTACGCTACAGAGACAGAGAGCTAACGCTACGCTACAGAGACAGAGAGCTAACGCTACGCTACAGAGACAGAGAGCTAACGCTACGCTACAGAGAGCTAACGCTACGCTACGGTACAGTGAGCCATTTATATCAGATTTATGAGTCACTGACCCTGCAGCCAATCAGAATCCAGTATTCCGTCAGATGGTTCAATAATCAATAACATTTGTGTTCGTACTTACATGATGTTAGCTTTGTGGACGGCCGTCACGCTGTTTCTTTGGTTGTTTCTGGCGTATTCGAAGGCGTACTCAGCGATCCGTCTGCTGGCGTCCTCAGTGATCAGTTTAATGCTCTGAACGACGCCGTCCACAATCTAAAACAACATCAACAACATCAACAACAACATCAACATCAACAACATCAACAACATCATTATCAACAACAACATCAACAACAACAACATCATCAACAACAATAACATCAACAACATCAACATCAACATCATCAACAACAACATCAATATCAACAACATCAATATCAACAACAACATCAACATCAACAACATCAACAACAACAACATCATTATCAACAACAACATCAACAACAACAACATCATCAACAACAACATCATTATCAACAACAACATCAACAACATCATCATCAACAACAACAACATCAACAACAACAACATCATTATCAACAACAACATCAACAACAACAACATCATCAACAACAACATCATTATCAACAACAACATCAACATCAACATCATCAACAACAACAACATCAACAACAACAACATCATTATCAACAACAACATCAACAACAACAACATCATCAACAACAACATCATTATCAACAACAACATCAACAACAACAACATCAACAACAACATCAACAACCACCACTTTTCTTACACCCTTTTAAATCAAGAAGGCCTCAAAGCTTTGGCGACCCCTAGTGGGGGTCGGGACCCACGGGTTGGGAACCAGCGTTAGAACGGACGATGTCATTATGCTAATGAGTGACTGAACGGAACGAGCGTTTACTTCTAATCTATTTCCAGGACTTTCCAGGACTTTCCAGGACTTTCCAGGACTTTCCAGGACTGTGAAGCTGCAGTAAAGAACTCTTCATGCAACATCTGATCGAGGTGATGGGAGACAGGAAGTGCACAAAAACAACAGGAAGGACAACGGACGGTGTTTACAGGAAGTGACATCACACATACAGGGGGCGTCGACTACCAGCTAAAAGAGCCGTTCTGATTGGTCAATCATTAAACATACAGTATAAATCACACTAGGCTAGGCTAATGCATTCCCTCTGCTTCCAGTCTTTGTGCTAAGCTAGGCTAATGCATTCCCTCTGCTTCCAGTCTTTGTGCTAAGCTAGGCTAATGCATTCCCTCTGCTTCCAGTCTTTGTGCTAAGCTAGGCTAATGCATTCCCTCTGCTTCCAGTCTATGTGCTAAGCTAGGCTAATGCATTCCCTCTGCTTCCAGTCTTTGTGCTAAGCTAGGCTAATGCATTCCCTCTGCTTCCAGTCTTTGTGCTAAGCTAGGCTAATGCATTCCCTCTGCTTAGTCTTTGTGCTAAGCTAGGCTAATGCATTCCCTCTGCTTCCAGTCTATGTGCTAAGCTGGGCTAATGCATTCCCTCTGCTTCCAGTCTTTGCGCTAAGCTAGGCTAATGCATTCCCTCTGCTTCCAGTCTTTGCGCTAAGCTAGGCTAATGCATTCCCTCTGCTTCCAGTCTTTGTGCTAAGCTAGGCTAGACTAAAGCTCTGAAACTGGTTCAGGTGTCAATCTGGTTCAGATCTGAGCTGACAGTGTGAACAGACGAGAGCTGCTTCCTCCTTCTTACCCTGAAGACGAGCAGGAGCAGAGCGTGTGCTGCGGCTAGCTGACCTGCAGGAACACAGGTGAGGAGGGCGGGTACATCGTCATCACTACAGCTCGCACAGGTGAGGAGAACACCTGCTCACAACCTCAGTGCACCTGATCCACTGGGACCCACCGATCCTGATCCTGATCCACTGGGACCCACCGATCCTGATCCTGATCCACTGGGACCCACCGATCCTGATCCACTGGGACCCACCGATCCTGATCCACTGGGACCCACCGATCCTGATCCACTGGGACCCACTGATCCTGATCCTGATCCACTGGGACCCACTGATCCTGATCCACTGGGACCCACTGATCCTGATCCACTGGGACCCACTGATCCTGATCCACTGGGACCCACTGATCCTGATCCACTGGGACCCACTGATCCTGATCCTGATCACATTGTCTGCATTTTACCAACACAATGAATGAACAGTTTACACTTGCTGTAGGATCAATATCTAAGTGCAGCCAATCAGAACCTCTCTGCAGCAGACAGGAAGCAGAGAACCAGTAGTTACCATGGTAACGACAGCATCACTCACACAGACTGAATGATCCACCAATCAATTCTATTGATCAGAATACACTGTATCTTTATGGATGATATTGATCAGTATACACTGTATCTTTATTGATTATTGATCAGTATACACTGTATCTTTATGGATGTTATTGATCAGTATACACTGTATCTTTATTGATTATTGATCAGTATACACTGTATCTTTATGGATGATATTGATCAGTATACACTGTATCTTTATGGATGATATTGATCAGGATACACTGTATCTTTATTGATTATTGATCAGTATACACTGTATCTTTATGGATGATATTGATCAGTATACACTGTATCTTTATGGATGATATTGATCAGGATACACTGTATCTTTGATTATTGATCAGTATACACTGTATCTTTATTGATTATTGATCAGTATACACTGTATCTTTATGGATTATTGATCAGTATACACTGTATCTTTATGGATGATATTGATCAGTATACACTGTATCTTTATGGATGATATTGATCAGTATACACTGTATCTTTATGGATGATATTGATCAGTATACACTGTATCTGTATGGATGATATTGATCCTGTATTGACAGTCAGACTGTGGACATATGACGGCCTTTAGCTCGTGTTTCTAGAGTTACGTGTTGTTACGAACACGTTAGGAATTGTTAAAATGTGATATTTCTTAAAGGGAGTTTGGTGCAGGGAGCTTTTAGTTGGATTCAAACTGCTGATATGGATCATTGTTAACGTTTAGTCTCCACTACAGAAACACTAGCTAACTGAATCTCCACTTTCTATGATTCCGAAAGTGAAGCATTGTGGGTAGTAACTGAGGGCCTCCTGTCACTCACCACGTGTTCGATACCGCTGTACTCGCCCTCCGTGTTCTCCCGGATGGTGACCAGGTTGACGTCGGTGTACGGCGTCTTGTAGCCCTCGATGGAGATGCAGGGTCTCACGTTAGCGTAAAGGTCGAAGGTCTTCCTCAGCAGCAGGTTCATGGAGGGGTGGCCGGCGGCGATGGGGGTCTTCAGGGGTCCTGGAGGGGAGGAAGGGGGGGGGCAGGTCAACCTAAAGAACACTGGGAGATGTAGTTTCATGCTCAGCATTTACATACCTTTCAGTCCGATCTTGCTCTTGTCCATCGACTCTTTGGCGTCCGGGGGGATCATCCATCGGCCGCCAGGTCCCTTTATCGCCGTCACGTTCCTCTCCTCCCACCTGATCGGAGCCTGCAGGAACCAATCGATCAATCATTGGGTTTTAAACAGCAGCAGATAATCACAGAACACCTCCGATCACTCTCACCTTTGCTGTCTCAAAGATCTTCATCACAGCGGAGGAGATCTCTGGGCCGATGCCGTCGCCAGGAATCAGTGTGACCGTCTGCATCTGGATAATCAATAATCGATTGATTCATTGATCAGATCTTTTTTCATCTTCCAGCTGTCAGATTACCTCAAACATGAAGTCTCACATTGTTATTGTCAATAATGATCTGCTCACAGTGAAAGCTGATAAAGTTATTGATTATGTCCTGATTGAACCTCCTTAAATGTGTGTGTGTGTGTATACATATATATATATGTGTGTGTGTGTGTGTTACAGTCGGGGGGACCCTGAACTACTCACCCCTCTGGAAAAGGAAGACAGAGCAGGTCTCCTCACCGCTCCCCCCACCACCTGGGACAACTGGAGGAGACACAGGTGAAGGTCACTGATCAATATCAATGCATCAATCACTGATCAATATCTGGAGATTAGAGGTGGGCGATATATATCGTTTGCGATAATATCGTCATTGTTGTTTTGACGATGTGCAAATTTCCATTATCGAGTATTTAAATTACTTCGACAAAAACAATGAAACGCCCGCGGAAACTCCTCCCATCCATTAATACACGGTGCAGCAGCGCTCTCTACAGCATGGCAGGATTCAGTCACACGACTAGTGGGCCTACGTGATCACATGACGTGATCACGTGACCTCTCGCTAGCATCCTCCTTGCAGCAGTTTAGCAGCGCGTTGCGATGGTAGAGAGAAAATGCAAACACCTCCAGTCCCTGAAGCTACCGGTACTTCAGATGATTCAGTGCCGAGACGTGGGTCGACCTCTCTGACGTTTAACGCTCAGAGCGCTTCCAGTTGAAATCTGTTCAACCTTTGACCCCGCTGGGCGCTCGGACAATGAGTTCTTGAGCTCTCAGCACTAAAAACGCGTTTGGTGGACACAAGACCGAACTCAGACAATTCCAATCACATTTAAAGATATCGACTGATTATCGTTATCGCCAAAATCCCAAAAGATAACAAGATATTATTTGCCCATATCGCCCACCCCCACTGGAGATAATGTGTGAATCTTCTCCTGCAGCACTGCATTACTTCC